CAGCCTCCGAACATGCTCGTTAGCAATCCGCCGGACGTTGGCGTACCTTCCAGCGAGGAGGTCCCTGGCATTTTGGTAAGCGTCGTCCGACAACTTAAGGTGGCCGACGACGCCCAGGGCCTCCCCCTCCAGTGATGCCAGGAGGTACCCCATTTTTTGGCAGGGGGTCAAGTCCCTGCGGGCGTCCACCAGGCTGTCAAACATACCGACGAAGGTCAGCCATTCCGAGAGGACCCCGGAGAACATTGGCAGGTCCAGCGTGGGGAGTCGTCCTAACAGCTCTGGCTGAGTGGGCGACTTCCGAGGGGACTCGAGCAGGCCACTCAGCCGAGCTTCGCGCTCCTTCTCAGCGTTCTTGGCCCCCGCCTCGATCAAGTCGTCCGTGAGTGCGACGAACTGCTCGTAGTCCGCGCGGCAGGAGTCCAGGACTCCCTTTTCCACCTCCGAGTCCTCGAGCTCAGCGTAAGCCTCCTCCACGGCAGCCCTTCGAGCATCGACCTGCTCGAGCCTCATATTATAAACCCTATCCGGTCGGCCTATCAAAGCGTGTGCGCTGGTAGCCCAGCGCAGCTCAGTCCGCAAGCAACGAATTAGTAGCTTATGTGACGGCATCACCACTAAATACAATAACAAAAATAACAAATACAGTTCCTATCAATCAAGTTAAATAGAAATGTGTAATTTCTATTTAACTTGATTGATAGGAACTGTATTTGTTATTTTTAAATTAATTATTAAATTAAATACAAGTTAACACGAAAAAACACAAATCAAATTAGCAAGTAACAACCCTAGTACGATCAACAAATTATCCGATTACGTGACAACCTTATCTACCTAATCAAAGTACTTCGCCTCAACAAAATTCCCGCTTGTTAACCTACGGGCGTGGCGTTAGCAACTACCTACTAACAACAAAAAAAAGGCGAGCAACAGGGCAACAAAAGAAAGGAATTATTATTTATATTAATTATATTATATTAATTTTACGTATTACGGCCGGGCGTGATTGTAGACACAATCAGCCACGCTACTGCTACCAAATGTTACGGCGTGCAGATAGGCAGTATCTAATAGTAGGATCCTCCCGGGCATGGTAGGAAGAACCTACAGGCAGATGCAGGTCGGGCCTTTAAGGCCAAAGTGGAAGGTCTCTAATTAAAATAAACAAAAGGGGGAAAGATCGGTAAGGGAAAGGCACTTACTTGCTTCTGGAGCGGAGACGGTTCACCAGGATCTGCCCGGCTGATGGAAGTGTAGTGAATGTATGTGTGCTTTGTATGAATCTGTGTGTAAGTGGCCTGGGCTAGATGACACAATACTGTCCTGGAGAAGGTATCCGCTGGTAGCCTCGAAACTATTCCCCTCTTGAGGCACTCTTTCCGTTTTGTCACGTAATGGTACAGCCAAACGTAGAACTTCAGAGGAAAATCACAATCGGAGTTGCACAATTAATTTGGCAGAAATTAATGTCTTAAAGAACAATACGTGTTCTCGCAACGATTTACGCGGGTTTATACTTTCGTATCAAAAATAGGCGCTAATCACTAAGACGTCAGTATAGATCGCAAATAACTTTACAATGCTTTTCGAGAAATCCGGTCGATACCGCCGTGGAATGCGACCGGGTGGGGGACGGGTGACCTTGCTATCGAAGCTAAGCTACGAACGCACGTTAAAAGATTCACGTTTCAAATGTATAATATTTTTGCCTAAACCCTCGCCCCGGACATAAGGAGTTATGTCCGCGAGTAGATTGGCAAACGGGACAAGGTCGCGACGGCACGTTGCAAGACCGAATCTCCGACCAAAACCTCGGCCACTCTAGGCACCCCATCCGCTCCATACGACAACTTAACAATGCGCCCACGGCGCCAATACAAAGGTAGAGCGTTGGGTTCTTTAACCAACACGAGGTCTCCCACCCGAGGAGGTTCCGTCTTGTCAGACCACTTAATGCGCTGCTGCAAAAGATGTAGGTACTCCAGAGACCATCGGTGCCAAAAGCTCTGAGTCATCTGTTGCAGCAGGTCAAACCTGCTCAGCTGCGAAGCGTTCGTTTCCCTGAAGGGGTACTCGGGCAGAGCGTTAAGCGGATGGCCAATTAGGAAGTGTCCCGGGGTTAGAACCTCCAAATCATTCGGGTCGGATGAGAGGGGACAGAGGGGCTGAGAGTTGAGTACAGCCTCAATTTTACAGAATACAGTGGCCAGCTCCTCAAATGTCAAAATATTTTCACCAATAACGCGACGGAGATGCGTTTTTGCCACTTTAACCACCGCCTCGAAAATACCGAACTTCAGAGGAAAATCACTATCGGAGTTGCACAATTAATTTGACAGAAATTAATGTCCTAAAGAACAATACGTGTTCTCGCAACGATTTACGCGGGTTTATACTTTCGTAACAAAAATAGGCGCTAATCACTAAGACGTCAGTATAGATCGCAAAAAACTTTACAATGCTTTTCGAGAAATCCGGCCGATATCGCCGTGGAATGCGACCGGGTGGGGTGCGGGTGACCTTGCTATCGAAGCTAAGCTACGAACGCACGTTAAAAAATTCACGTTTCAAATGTATAATATTTTTGCCTAAACAAGTAGAACTACTGTGTTTTATTATTAGTGTGTTTTAAGGTGTAATTAGTATCCGTAATTAAAGTGTCAAATTTGGTAATTCAATCGGCAGTTTTTAATTGTCTCGAACCTCAAGCTCGTAACAATTGGTGTCAGAAGTGGGATTAAATCATGCCGATTTTACCAAAGGACGACATGGAGGGTATCCGTACTCGAAGTCAACGCCAGCTGGAGACGGACCAGAGACGATTTGGTAATACAATGCCGCAAAAATCGGAGGGCCAGCTGCTGACCACGGAGGCCGGTCGGTCATCAGCTCCTGCATCTACAGCACCTGACTTAGGTGTTCTGATGATGATGCTGCAGGAACAGACCCGTCGGTTGGAAGAGCAGCTGCAGCGCGGACAGGAGGAACAGGCCCGCCAACAAGAGGAACAGGCCGGCCAACAGGAGGAACCGGCCCGTCGGTTGGAAGAACAGCTGCAGCGCGGACAGGAGGAACAGGCCCTCCAACAGGAGGAACAGGGCCGTCGGTTGGAAGAGCAGCTTCTTCTCATGAAGGACCGTCACGCTACCTTCGGGAATGAGATAAAGGAGGTGAAGGATAGGGTTGCTAAACATGACAACCGCCTGTCGGAAGCTGAAACCCGAATCGACCAAGTGAACAATCGGGTTGACCACGTGATGGTTGACGTGAAGAAAACCTCAAAATTGGGGATGGAGTTACAGCTCCCGTGGTAGCTACAACACCTTCGCTACGTGGATTCAAAGTGCCACCGTTTGACGGGAGTTCTTCCTGGTCGGCGTACAAAATCCAGTTCGAGGCTGTCATGAAAGCGAACGGCTGGAATAAAAAACAGGCCATGACTGCTCTCACCGTAGGCCTACGCGACCAGGCCTTAACTGTTCTGGAAGCTCTGGGTAAGGAAGTGACTTAGGAGCAGCTCCTTGAGGCATTGGAGGCGAGATATGGCGATGCTCACCTGGAACACGCCTTTCGTGCGCAGTTCAAAGATCGCGTGCAACACAGTAACGAAAACCTGCAACAGTGGGCCCTTGAGGTGGAGAAGCTGGTTCGAAAAGCGTACCAGTCTGTACCTGCGCTCATTGTAGGGAACCTGGTGCAGACATTCATCGACGGTATCCGCGACCTTGAAGTGAGAGCTGCTGTGAGGCTCGGGCACCACGAGACGCTTAAGGACGCCTTGACCCATGCACTAGAGGTGGAAGCCGTGCGGCAGGATCATCGTTCCCACCGCGTCAGGGAGGTTGCAGCAGCTACAGTTCAGGACCGCAATAAGGGCTACAGCCCTAGGTGCTACGGCTGTGGGGAAAGGGGCCATCTTCGATTCAGCTGCCCTAAACGAACTGTAGAAAGGGAAGGTGATCGATCTCGAGAGGGTAGTGCGGATAATAGCACCGCCCAGCAGCAGCAGGGAAACTGGCGGGTGCTGGCTGATGTTAAAAGAGTTGGGGCTCTTTGGGGCGATTTCGATCTCACAAACCCATGATGGGAATAGCCTAATCATCAAGGGCGAAGTCAACGGAACGCCGTGTAAACTGACCATAGACACTGGAGCCTCTCGCACGGTTGTCAGTTCCCAACTTATAAGTCGGTTTCTTGGGGACTCCGCATACAACCGAGAACGTATTAATTTGGTGACAGCCACCGGTCAGCGCATACTCGTCCGTGGAGAGAAGGAGATGGAGTTGAAGCTAGGCAACATGATCTACCTGCATAATGTCATCGTGGCTGATATAATGGACGACTGCATCCTGGGTCTAGACTTTATGAGAAAGAATTGTTGTGAGATCGACGTTAAGCAAGGTGTTTTGAAATGTGGACAATAGGAACTTTTCATGGAAGGGGCGTTACCAGGGAATGTGTACAGCCTTTAGAAGATTGTTCTTCCGCCGAGATCGGAAACGATTGTGCCGGTTAGACTTCCACGGAATCCTGGGCAAACTCTTCGTTGTGTACTCGTGGAAAGGGTAGACAATGACCTTCCATGGAAAATGGCTCGAACCTTGGTCAGAACCACCGACATCTCAGGAGTACGTGTGCTGAACCTTTGTGATCAGGAACAGATTATAGAAAAAGGCACATTGGTTGGTACTAGTAAGGAAGTGGATTGGTTGCGTCAGTGCCAATATCTATCGACTGGGACCCCCAGCAAGGATGGACAAACTAGAGTGACCACACTTTTAGAAGACTGTCGCAGCGTTCTCTCCCCGAATGAAACGGTCAAAGCGAAGAAGTTGTTACTCAAGTACGCCAATGTTTTCTCGTCAAACGAAGCTGACATAGGAAAGACTGGCTTAGTTCAACACAAAATAAACACAGGACAAGAATTACCTATTCGTCAGCGGCCAAGAAGATTGCCTGTAGCACGTGAAAACGAAGTGGAAACCATGATTGAGGGAATGGTGAAGGATGGTATTATTGAACATTCATCTAGTCCATGGTGTTCACCTGTGGTGCTGGTAAAGAAGAAGGACGGCAGCATGCGGTTTTGTGTTGACTACCGCCGCCTGAACGACGTTACGAAGAAGGACAGCTATCCCTTGCAAAGAATTGATGACACGCTGGACATGCTTACAGGCGTAAAGTGGTTTAGTACGCTGGACCTGAAAAGTGGCTACTGGCATGTTGAAATTGACCCTAAGGACAAGGAGAAAACTGCATTCTCCACAGGAAAGTGTCTGTAGCAATTTAAAGTCATGCCGTTTGGATTGTGCAATGCTCCAGCAACGTTTGAAAGGTTGATGGAGCTTGTACTTACCGGTCTAATTGGAGATGCCTGTCTGGTCTATTTGGATGACATCATCATCGTAGGCCGTACGTTTGAGGAACACCTTCAAAACCTGGAACGCGTGCTCATGAAGATCCAGAGTGCCAACCTCAAGTTGAGTCCGAAGAAGTGCTCACTATTCAAACGGCAAGTTAGTTTTTTGGGGTATGTAGTGTCGGAAGAAGGTATCCGCACGGATCCAGAGAAAATTGCCGCTGTCAAGGAGTGGCCGGTTCCAAAAGACAAGACACAGGTTAGAGCATTTTTGGGTTTGTGCTCTTATTATCGGCGATTTGTGAAGAACTTTGCAGATATAGCCAAACCTCTGCACAAGCTAACCGAGGAGAAGCGACGTTTCTGCTGGGATGAAAGTTGCGATATTGCATTCCAGGAGCTCAAGAACCGTCTGTGCAAAACACCTATTTTGGGGTACCCTGATGCGGGCAAGGAATTCATAGTTGACACAGACGCAAGTGATATAGGACTTGGCGGTGTGTTGTCTCAACTGAATGGTGATCAAGAGATTGTGATAGCGTACTTCAGCAAGTCGTTATCAAAGCCGGAAAGGAACTATTGTGTCACAAGACGGGAATTGCTTGCTGTGGTAAAGTCCTTGCAGCATTTTAGCAAATATCTTCTAGGGCGGAAATTCCACTTACGAACTGACCATGCTGCACTGAAATGGCTATTGCAGTTCAAAAATTCGGAAGGACAAGTTGAGAGATGGATTGAACTACTACAGGAATACGACTTTGTGATCGAACATCGCAGCGGGAAATCTCATGGCAATGCAGATGCATTATCAAGAAGACCTTGCCCTGAAGATTGCAAGCATTGTACTAGGCAAGAGGGTAAAGAAGTGGTATCTGCGAGGAAATTCAGGACAGACCAGCTCAGCAATGAATGGAAGGACAGCCTACAACATGCACAGCAGGAAGATTCGGACATTAAGCCGATTCTGGAATGGATGCAGGCCATTGCTCCTAAGCCCAAGTGGAGCGACGTCTCAGCAATGAGTTCGACCATGGAAAGCTATTGGGCCCAATGGGACAGCTTGCTGATTCAGGATGGAGTCCTGTGCCGTAAATGGGAAAACGGTCAGGGAGACAGGTGTCACTTGCAAATGGCTGTCCCTAAGGCTAAAGTGCCGGATGTTCTACAGCTGTACCATAGTGGTTGTTCAGGAGGCCACCTGGGAGTTAAACGAACTCTCCTGAAGATCCGAGAACGGTTTTACTGGGTCCGCTGTCGTGACGATGTCGAGGACTGGTGCCGCAAATGTACAAGTTGTGCGGCTGTAAAGGGACCTCAAATTCGTAGTAGAGGCGCATTGAAATTGTACAATGTTGGTGCACCATGGGAGAGGATAGCCATTGAGGTTGCGGGGCTGTTTCCAGAAACTGAAAGTGGTAACAAGTATTTCATGGTTGTGATGGATTACTTCACTAAGTGGCCAGAAGTCTTTGCCATTCCAAATCAAGAAGCTTCAACAGTTGCAGATAAACTAGTTAATGAAGTCTTCTGTCGTTTTGGAGTACCCTTAGAGATTCACAGCGATCAAAGAAGGAATTTTGAGTCTCAAATATTTCAGGAAACTTGCCGAGTTATGGATACTCAGAAAACACGAACACGAACACACGAACTTCTTACCACCCACAATCCGATGGAATGGTGGAATGATTTAATCAGACATTGGAGAGGTACCTAGCAAAAGTTGTGGAAAAACGAAAACGAGACCGGGACAGGCACATACAACCGTTTTTGTTGTCATATAGAAACGCTGTTCACGAAAGTACATCAGTGACACCAACTTTCGCAAACTTTGGGAGAGAATTGCGGCTGCCTGCAGACCTGATCACCGGAATACCACCTGATGCCCCACGCAGTATAACCGATTATGCAAATGACTTGCGGAACAAACTGAATGACATTTATGAGCACGTCAGACAGACGGGCCAGCAAACGTCTGAAAAGATGAAAACACGGTATGACCGCAAAATTAACAACAAGGGGTTTGATGAAGGTTCACTAGCGTAGTTACACAAATCAGTACGCAGCAAAGGGAAATCTCCTAAGCTTCAAGCTAAATGGGACGGACCGTACCGGATTGTGACAAGGATCAATGACGTAACCTACTTCTTTTTATAGGATAAGGGTGACACGATGGTAAATGGTTCCTGTGGCCCATAGACATCTACATCTATCTTCGTTTGCGAATCAAAATGCAGATGCGTTGTCAGTCATGATGGAATGCCTCTTTTACTCTTCCGTATCCGTACAGAAAGGTGCCAGAGGTACTCCTAAGATTGTCCATGTGGATCGACTGGCGCGTTATTATGGGGCCAATAATGCTCGGGACGAGCATGTCTTAGGAGGGGGCAGTGTTACGCGCCACTATTAATGTCTTGTACATGGCAACACTAGTTACACTAGAGCCCTCTAGTGTCGAGTAAAAGAAAGTATTGCGCGCCACTATTAATGTCTTGTACATGGCAACACTAGTTACACTAGTGCCCTCTAGTGTTGAGTAGCAGAACTAGGAGAGTCGAGATCCTTCCAGAAATTTCGGGACCGATATGTACTCGAACATTCTAGATGTCACTACAGTAGAAGGTTCTGGAAACTATCTGAGACCCTATATAAGGCCGGTATAGACCACGACCGAGGCAGTATTGAATTGGTGATACAAGAGAATACTTCGATGCGAAACAACTGCGAACTTAAGTGATCAGTAGAATTATTGTGTTTTATTATTAGTGTGTTTTAAGGTGTAATTAGTATCCGTAATTAAAGTGTCAAATTTGGTAATTCAATCGGCAGTTTTTAATTGTCTCGAACCTCAAGCTCGTAACACTATTAATATCCTCAAAATATTGTATCATGGACACTCTATTTCTATATTTTACAATCTCCTTGACGCCAGTATATTATGTCAATGTCACAAAGTAATAAGAAGTACTCCATGATACTGGCGGAATACTGTTTATGATTAGGATTATTATTATAGGATTTCTGACTGGTCAATGCGAAATGCTCTTGTTTAAGCACCTCAAAGTCAATATATATGGTCATGGGCACAAAGACGCAAATAAGAAGAATTTGTGGTGACCTAGACGTTAAGATTCACGGTACACATATATTGCGCGTGGATGAAGCCAAAAACCTTGGTATAACCTTCGATAGTAATCTCAGATTTGAAAATCATGTCCTTAATATGATAAAAAACTGTTTTTATCGTCTATAGGTATTATTCCATATCCGTGAACAACTTTCTGTACCGTCACGCATTACTCTTTGTTAGTCATTAATTTTATCTCGGCTTAACTACGGAGATGTTTTTTATGGACCTCGAATTTTCAGCAAAAAAAAAGCGACCAAAGAGTGAGTGCGCAATGTCATTCTCTGTTTTTCGCACACGTTAATTATTGGCCCGAGTGGCAACGCCTCTTGAGATTTTGCGTTTTTTAAAATATTTCTTAAGGCCTTAACAGTGGTTGAAATGCCTAAATCTAGGATATTTAAGTAAAAAAATCTCAATAACTGTTCATTTAATCCACAAAAAAAAATATAGGGTAACAGAAGAAGATTTGGTAAATGTTTTTAATTTAACAAAACTGTATTTTTGTCAACCCCTTATTAGAAAAAAAATCCCCAAAGAGTACCTATCTTTGTCATATTTTTCAAAATTTCTCCAAAACGGCACAAGCTTTATAAATAGTTCTTACATTAAAAAAAAGTTCTTAAAAATATTAATATTTTTAATTGAGGGTTTTATTTTTATTACCCGTTTTATAAGAGAATATATCATTTTTCCCTGAAATTGATTATATTTACGCGTGCGCGCATGCTTCGTCGCCATGTAATCTGTAAGCTCTGTCACAGTTCGTTCATAGATAAATATATATGTAGAGTCCGTTTTCGGACATCGTCGAGGGTGGACTGCACGTCGGTGTTGGAGCGACTTCGTTCAAATATATATTAGTTTTTTAAAAGTTTATACTCAATTATAAATATTTTTATGACTAGAAATACTTAATTTAGTTAATATCTGTACACTGGTAACTGTAAATATTATTTTCTAAATAAATTAATTTTTAAAGTGCCCAAAGAAGAAGAAATTTTCGCGGCGACGTTGATTAGTGAAATTGAAAAATGCATTTTTATATAATTTAGATGTGGAACGACGAACATGCTCTCGTTACTTAGATTGCGATAGTTTTTAATACCTATGTAATTTTATTGTTGCATATTATTATTAATTAGTTGATACTGAATTTTATAATTGTGTATTACAATAAAACGCTGTTTTAATGAGTATGACTTTATAAAATATTATTGGGGAGGGAAATAAAGATACAAATACTTACATTTAGGTACACTGTTATCAAATTAAATCAAACAATTTAAATAAATAAAAGAATGGTGCTTACCTAAGTATAAATAACTATATAAAGACATTCTTGGGTTTATGGTTTTTTTTAATGTTAGACAAACTATATATTAATATTACTATATACTAATTTTAAATTGGAGAGGGGTTTCTCTACGTGATAATGTTAGAAATGAAGATATTTGCATTAGAACCAGAGTAACTGACATAGCCCAACGGAATATTACAGTGAAATGACAATGGGCTAGCTATATAACTTGGAAAACAGATAAAAAATAGGAAGAAAGGTCCTCGAGTGGGAACCTCGTACAGGTAAGCGAATTAGTACTCGACCTTTATTCCTCTTCACGTATTCTCATACGCTTTTCTTTACACACACACACACACACACACACACACACACACACACACACACACACACACACACACACGCACGCGCACACACACACACACACACACACACACACACACACACACAAATAGGTCGCAAATAATACTTACCTAGTACTATTAGGCAAGAGTGAATAGGTTTTTGTTAAGTCAGTGCAATTCACCATCTTAGACTACATAACCACTTACCGATGGGACTGTAGTTGCTTTACTACTTGCTGGGTAAAAATAGTTAAAAAAAATTTACCCTGTGAAAGTTTGCATTTAGATATAATTTTTCTAACCAACCATAAAAATATGATGAGATATGTATATAAGTATAAAGGTTGCCTCACACGGGACAGTAATAATATAATATTATATCTTCCATTATCTATGCATGGAAACTTTTAAAATCTCTGAATCCCGAGGTATATTCATATTAAGAGGCTGAATAGAGCCACGTTGAAATGCATGGGGATCGTTGTGTAATTTCACGTCATTATCGAAAAAAAATGTACGTATTTCAGGTGGCGGTTTGCAAAACACGATTCCACGAAAATTAACTCAACAGAAAATAATTGCAAAGTTGCTTCTAAAAATACTTAAAGTTTCAACGTCAATTTTTTCTTACGTGGTAGAGCCATGCTGCAGCTATATTAGTAGTAGGTATAGTTGAAGCACGAATGGGTCGGCTCGACCAGGGAAGGGCCACGCTCTCATGGAATAACATGTAAAATAGCAGTATAACATTTTGCTGTGTTTCGTATGGTGAGTGTAGAGAACCGGAGAACCTTTTTACTGGAAACGAGGCATTACATCTTAGTCCTCACGGGTGACAACGCATCTACATTTTGATACGTAATCGAGAATAGATGTAGATGTGTATGGGCCGTAGCAACCACTTACCATCAGGTGGACTGTGTACTCGTTTGTCACCCTTATTCTATTAAAAAAAACTTTCTGAGATTTCAGTAAAATAATGTTAAGTATTGTAAGCACTCGTACAATTATGTCTCTGTTAATAAAGCTATTGGGCTATTTTGATTTGTAATAAAGTGATTTTACTTTATAGGTTAAATAATTTATTTACCTTTCTATATCAATAACCGTTTTTCTGTCACTCCTATTGAATTTGACAGTGCTTGCTGAAATTTAGCATCTTTAGATGGATCAGAATCGCGCGCTGATCCGGCTGTTAGACATCCAAAATATTTATTTTTACTTTCATGCCGAAGACTAACTTGTTTTATTTTATTACGGTCAAATAATATTTATTAGGTTATAAAGCAAGTATTTACAAATGTTTACATTATTTTGTACTATTGTTTACAGTTTTTATCACGTCTTAGCTTCACACCTAGAATTACATTAAAAATTCTTGATGGGATACGATGTAACGCGCATACTTTATTTTCATCATGAACTATAATATATATATATTTGGTTTTTTTTACCAGTAGAGTTCCAATACAATCTTAAAAAAATTCAATGAATTAAAAACTGCTGATAATTATATAATTTCAAGTCAGTGTTTTACATTTAAAGATCAGTTATAAAGTGCCAAAGTTCTTATTTTCATTTGGATTAATTTAATTCGAGACTAAAATAAATGTGAAAGGGCTTTTATTTGCAATAATAATTTTCATCAAAAATAACATAGACTTATAAAAGTTATATACACGGTTAACCATACTGAAGATTGTCAATTGTACTACAAAATATTTAAAATACTATTTCCAGTATAATGACCCGTATATCATCATTAATGTCTGACTGGCACACTTAAAAGTTTTATCCCATGGCTAAATGATTGAATATTATATTAAATAACTTCATCCAAATAGCATAACTGGCATTATACTCCGGCCCATCAATTGGTATGGAAAACAATAATTTTACCAGGTTTCAAAAAATCAATCAAAATTCAAAAAAACATAAATATTAAA